CTTCACAAGAAATCGACTGTTTTCTTTAGTAGGCTAACTTTTTAAACATTCCACAAGAGGAAGTGCCTGCAGGTTCCTTTTTTAGAAGCTTTGTGGGTTTTGGTTTTTGGTTTTTTTTTTTTGTACATTTTTAATTGCAGTTTTAAAGTGAATCTTAAAAGAACCTCAGCATTGTGCACGATAAGCGAATGTGTCAGTATTTCAGGGTTCTTACATTTTATCTGTAAAATGTGACTTTTTTTTACCACAACAAAAGTAAAATGTTGCTTTGTATCTGGTGTCCTCTTATTAAAGATTTTCTTTTTTCTCCTTCCCCTCCCAATTTCTAAGAAACAGTCGTGAGTCGTCAAAGCAGAAAATTTAGCAACCAGGCTTTTTTGTGCCCCCCAAATAATACAATGTAAATAATGCTCATTACACTCCATCTTCCACTCCATCCTCTCTACACAGTTTTTAGGTATGGAAGAAGGAAGAAAAATCAGAACAGTCTTTTGGCAATAAAGTAAGGGATATTCCTGTTTTTTAATTTGGCAATGGTTTTTGAGGGGGCAAAGCAAACCTTAAAGCTAAATAGTGATGGTGGAGTGCACGTCTAACCTGGTTGCATTTGTCTGTAGAGGCTCAACTTGTGAAGGTACACGCCATCAACTTTTTTCCATTGTTCTGCATTTTGATTCTGAAAAAGCTGGCTCTGCCCATTTCTTATTAAACAAACTTGTTGTAAATCCAGTTGTCTAATGGGATCTATATGAAGTTAGCTGTGTGTCTGTAACCCTTTCCCCACAAATACTGTGTATTTAGTGTGCTTGTAGTAGTATACTCCACCATTTTGTAAACAAATGAAATTGTGATTCACCCATTTTATATCTAATTTTTAATCATGTTAGTTTTCAGATGGGTGTGTCTCCTTAGCCTGCTGATTTACTTCTTTAAAGAAAGTGGGTGGAGAAATTAACTTTAGCCGTTTGTTTGCAATAAAATAAAATCATTTTACTCTTACTCTGGGATTCTCACCACATTGGTCTAAAATCCCTTTAATGAAACAGTTAGCTCAATGTTTAAGCAACCTGATTTCTGAGAAGGCTCAAAATGTATGCTCTCCGCATCCTATGACGGGAGAGAACCCTACACAAATTGTCATTTTAATAGAAAATATGGAAATATGCCTGTTCCTTATTGCAGTTTGAATTCCTGTGTTGCAAGTTGCTACACTAAAGCTGATAATGGCTTCCTTATGTCCACTAACAGTGTGGTAGAGGTCAGATTCCGAGCTCCTAACTTCATTACCAGAATCTTGCAGAATTGTGACTGCAATTTAATACAGGTGAAAGAGTGTAACAGTCAAGAGTAAATGAAAGTGGACAATTTTGTGCATTTTATTGTGAGTTCCATTAAGTTGGCAGTCATGGTTTGCATGTACTATTTTCAGCATTTCTAGTTCTTGGGAAACGTTATCCATAGATTTTAAGTTTTCAACAAAATGCTGATGTCCTTGAAAACAAGTAACAGAAGAATTTATTTTGATTGAGATGGGATTTGTTTCCCAAAATGCACTTGGCCTTAATAAATTGTAGGCACGCCTGAGAACCATTTCTCCCTAATTTATTTGTTGTATTTGGTGCCTTTCCCTTCTATTTCTCTCCCCTTCATATTGGGCTAAGCAAGATTTTTAGATGCTTTGGATGGATTTTTGGGAGCTTAGTGCATGCATTCTGTTCAGACTTAGTAAAGTAAATAATGTAGGAGTAATGCTAACATGAAGATTATTCCTGGATTTGCTTTTCTAGAAAACTGCTCTTTGAAGCATACTGCATTCATGAAGTCCACAATGCAAGAGAGTACGCAGTGTGATACCTGTGGACATGATAATGTCAAAATTGGTTTTCTGCAAAGGAAAACATGTTTTTCTTAAGGAACCTGTTTTGTCCTAAAACAGTTGGCATTGGGGAAGTTGAAAACATCTGGGGGAGTTACTTTGCTTTTTGAAAACTGAGTTTGTGGTGGCAATTTTATGAGTGTACACACTACATAATTTCACAATCCTCATGGCTTCAGCTCAAGGAGGATCTTTGCACAAATCCACTTTGTGCACCAGTTGGTCCTGTTCCTGGATCAAGAAGCTTCACTCACAGCCACTCATGCCTTAGTTGCTTCCTGGTTGGGCTGTTGCAGTGCACTCCTTGTGTGAAAAGTATTAAAAAACCAGCTGGTCTAGAAGGTAGCAATGCAGGCAGTAGAGTGACCATAGCATGGCTGGATAACTCTCCTGCTAAGTGAGTTGCACAGGATTCCAACAGGTTTCCAGATGAAGTGCTGGTTATCACTTTTAAAGCCCTGCACAGCACAGGGCCAAGATACTTGGGCTATCTGTCACCAGCGGTTTCTGCCTGTCCTACCAGATCTGGCAGGATGCGTGTTTCAGGTATTTTCTGTGAAATGTATTGTGGGACTTAGGAGGCATGCTGCCTGTGTTGTGGCGCCTTCCCTGTGGAACCAGGCTCCTGCTGAGTTTCAGGTGGTCCCAATTTTCTTGGCTTCCCAGAAAACTCGAAACCATGCTCCTTCCCTCAGGCTTAGGGCTAAGATGCTAGCAAGGCCCTGTCTGTGTTTTGTTCTGTGCTGTGTCATAGTTTTGGTGAAGATACATTTTTATTTGGCATCTTTTATTTTTAATTTTTATATGTATGCTACCGTTTCATGCTTTGTTAGCTGCATAGAGTTATTTCAGATAGAATGCCATATAAATTTGCAAAATAAATAAATGTAGCCCCTAAAGGTTTCAACTGCATCCCATCCCGCCCCCCCTTTAAAGTGTCTTATAATCCTGTCGACAAACATTAAATTGGTATTTGACGCACAAGCAAGATTACTCTCCTAGATATAATTAAACTTATTCAAAATGATAGATTAAGCCTATTGCCAAGCATCTGATGGTAGGCACAGTAGATTCGCTTCCAATTACTGGGTGTTATTGTTTACCAGTATTTAGAACAATCTGTAACAGCCCTGTTAGTCTAAAGGGCAAGGAAAAAAATTCTAACTGGCAACTAATGAGGATGTCATAAAAGCACTAGTTTTTGAGTCTTCAGTCAAAATGTTAGAAAAGTTGGGTTGGGGAAGAAACAAAAATCCAAAAAGGACATGTTTCTGCCATAAGTAGTTTTATCAGATTACAACCAGGAGTTGGGATTAACTAGTTAACTTTTTCTCCCAGCTCCCAAAAGCTAAGTGTGTTTATAACAAAACAGACCCCTCAAAATGTTCTGGAGCATTTTGTACCGAGTTCTAGAGTGATAGAAGAGTTAAAGTATTGCATTGGAGCTGGGAAGTCCCTGGTTCAAGTCCATCCTCAGCCAGAAAGCTTGCTGCATGACTTTGGGCCAGTCACTCAGCTAAACCTACCTCCCTGGCTTGTGGGGAAAAATATTAGAGTGGAATGCAAGCTCTTACATTAATAATTGTGTCTTTTAATTTGGATTGAGTTTTGTTTGATTTTCATTTATTGTTGTAAGCTGCCCGGAGTCATGTTTTGAATTGGAGAGACCATATAAATTAAGTAAATAAAATAGGGCAGGATATATTGTAAATCTATTTAATAAAATTTGGAACAAATTCCTTATTGCTTTTTTTTTTTCCTGCTGAGCCACAATAAGTGAGGTGATAGTTTTAAAATTACTGTTACATCCTGTTAAAAAAAATAAATGGGCAAGTTGACCTTTAGTGTTGACAGCTTTAAAAAAATCTCCAAAGAGGAAACAAATTTCAAGTGGGATTTTAGCATTTTCAAAAATATGAAAAGTTCTCATGGCCAGTTTCTCTGCAGATTGGGTGGCAAGTATTCGTCAATATGGACAGCTGTGATACTTGGGAAGTCCAGACAGATTTTGAAATCTGTTGGGTGCAAGCCCTGCAGAAAACTATTGATCTGTGGTGGACTTGAATACTGTACAAAAAATAGCTACTATTACTGTATTTCCAATTGACAGTTTTTACAATTGCCAACAGTCTTTCTCTACAGTCATTAGCAAGAATCAGTTGAGCATAAGTAGCTGTTGTCAAGATTTAACCATCAGAGTTTTGGGATATGTAAAAAGAAAGAGTTTATGGTTGCAACTTTGACCACTAGGCAAAGAAACTTGCAAGTTTCTGCTCAATACAGTATTTACTACACCATGATTTCCCAGTGCACTTGGGCAGACTTCATTGATGTTTCCACGCTAAAGGTAAAAAAGCTGCTACATCCAAAAGCATACATGTGTTTATTAACATACTATGTTCTTTACAAATAATTTCTTTATACAGTAATGTGCAATCCACTGAATTCATTAAGATTTTCTCCTAGGCGCACATTTTTTTCAATTAAACGTACAATTATAGAGACAAGCATTTGTTTTCAGGAATGAAATATCCCACAAGATTAGTAGGTCATTACAATACTAAAATCAATATATTCTTGTACATTTTGGAAAAATGTATTTTCAACTACTTGGACCCTTTAAAACAAAGTGCCAATTTTTTAAAAAGTAATTACACACACACACACACCAGCTCGAGGCAAAGTCTGCACTGATTACGACTGAGGGAATGACTGGCCCAAAGTCTTCCAGCTACACTATCCGGCTCTCATAATGGAAATGTTTCAAATAAAAAACATCCATGTACATTACTGTACATAAATCAGGTGACAATTCTTAGAAACTAAAGGCGTTGGACACTGAATGTTATCTGTACTGCAGATGAAAAATTCTAAAAATGGAAAGATGAATTGCAAATGCAGTATAACAATTTGGAAAGAGACTGAAATCTGTGGAGCAAAGATATGATTAACACTGGGAATACAGAATCTGGTAAATATTTTGCATTGTCATCAAACATTCTAGCATCAAAATATATTTGTATTACTTTGTAGCATGAGTTCAGGCAAACAGTGCTACAGTATTTCATTTCCTATTAAAATAGGTGAGTAGCAGGGAAACTGCACTCAGGATGATGTAGTTCTACCTAGCTGAGAGAAACTAAAAGACTAATTTACTTCATTAAAATCAAAGTAAGCACAGCTCCCCTTTAGATTTGGCTATTTTGTACAATGGATAAAGCCTTTCAATGTGCTGGTACTGTATTTCTAATTCATCAGAAAAAGCACTGCTAGAATGCATCATTTTGAAACAAGATTCCTGCCATGCTCCCAAAGCAACCTATTTACATACAAACCAGTAATAAAGTGAGAGTAAAAATAAAGCTACAGACTGAATTTCACAGTAAAAGAAATACTTTATCAGATTACAGTAATGTTCATACTGTAGTTATACATAATCAGTACAAAATATTTTAATAACATTGCCAAAACTAACGGCTTTTTTCATGGTTTGTTTCTGTCTTCGTTGTGGGATCAAACTCAGTACCTTCAAACAGTATCTTGTTTTTTATTGCTTCTTGAATCATACGTTGCTGAAACCTTTGTTTTGCATTATTATATCTACAATAGAACCTTAAGAAAAGAAGCACATGATTATCACTTGCATTATTATTTATTATATTTTGGTTGCTTTATTTCAGCAATTTAAAAAAATAAGAATTTGCAAAAGAAAACAAGACAGTTTAAAAAAATAAGAATTTGCAAAAGAAAACAAGACAGTTTAAAAAAATAAGAATTTGCAAAAGAAAACAAGACAGTTTAAAAAAATAAGAATTTGCAAAAGAAAACAAGACAGAAGAAAAATAAAAACATGCATAATCCCTTTTCCTGCTTCAGAGAATAAGTTCAACTGATGTCAGACTGAACTAACAAGTATACTAAAAATATATATAAATATTCTACATAACATTTTTCTCTGGTAACAAATCTATCCTTTAAACAGAAATATTTTATGGTTATTCATATTTATATATTTCTGTTTCCTGTGTCAGCCCAAAAATGTCAGAGTGCCACAAGCACTTGCTGGGGAAGCTATTTCCAACCCTTGCCCCCATACCCCCACACAAAGAAGCAGAGGAGCGTGCCTAGCCTTTTTTCGTTGCAGTTGCCTTTTCTCCTTTTTTAAAGAAAGGAAACTGGTTGGAAATTTTAAAAGCTTCTTTGTGACTTTATTTATTTAAAAGATTTGCATGGCTGCTGATCTAAAAAAACAACTCTGGGCACCTCACAACAACCAATTTTGGAATCACAAATTGATTCCAATTATGGAATCAAACAAGTTCTATATGGAAATTTTGGAAGAAAATTTGGTCATTGTTACCAGTGAAGACAACTGGGTATGAATTTGGATTGATGCTTAGAAAGTACAACTCTTCCAGGTAATAAGGAAGTCTTACTATAAATGATAATCAGTTAATAAGTAATAAGTCTGATTATTAATAAAAATAGTTGGGCTTTCTATTCTCAGGAATTGCCTAGCATGTTATAGTGGTGGAAAACATGTTTGCATGATTAGAGCATGATCAGTCTTGAAGCAGTAGGCTATCATAATTATTGAATCATCATACACACCAGTATCCTAACGTTGTCACGAAAAAACCTCCTACTCCCAAGTTATAGGCTCGTCTCACTTTGCCTGATGATGAGAAAAGAGACACCTTACTCATACTGAACATGTACTGATGGAGGCAGCAATAGCACAAAAGACAGGAAATTCACAGCAAAACAGAGTCTATTTCAAAGTGCAGTTATTTCTGAAGTTTAAGATAACAATGGATCATTGTTAGAATACTTACTTTAGTTGAATGGGACTCAGTGGAGCTATACATTAAACCAGAGATCATTACTGCAGAAAAGTTATTATTTGGCAAGCACAGAGCATATTAAATTGACAAAGGAGGAACAGAGGAGACACATGCAAACCTGTGCTGAAACAAGGCTCTCTAGTTGTTGGCTGCAACAGACTGGTTGATCACAATGAATTATTCTTTAACTATTGACTTTGCTTCCAAAGTACATTTAGACCTTAGAAGTTTAAAGTTTACTGCCGATATTCAAGGCTTAGGGATAGTTGAGAATATGTATTTTTTGTAGGAAGGAATGCAGAATGACAAAAGCAAGCACTACTTTGAAAGATCTGTCAACTGTGATTATTAAAATGGTGCATAGATGGCAAATGGTAATCTGTGAGAAAGTATGATGGGAAAATGGAAAGATAAAACTTTACACACAAAACTCACATAATTATATGTTAACAGGTCTTTACTTACTAGTTGCCAAAAAGTGTCCAAGCCCTATACCCAGACCACCCAATATTCCATAAAGAAATGACTGTCGAGCACAAGGAATTTTTTGGATCTCCAGCATTTCCTGCAGAAAGGACTGAAAAGAAATTGAATACATCATAGTTAAGATATCCTTGGAGAACACCAAATATGATTTTACAGTTTTAAAATGAACAAGAACAATTTCTCTGAATAATAGTTTAAGATCCAATTTCAAAAAAGGTAATAATCCTTGTTATAGTTAAGCAGAAGAGAGAAATTTAGCAAAAGCTTTTCCACTGAGCCACAAAGACAGGAAAAGCTGAACAGTGTAAAAGTCACATAACTATTGCAACAAGTAAAACTCATTGATCTTGTTATTTGTAGTAGATTTTTCAGAGATTAAAACTGTTACAATATTATGCTGTTATTTTACATTTTTCTGATAGTATCTGGTTCTTTGATGGCATTGCTTGGTCATTATTTATTTGTACCAACAGACAAAAAATACCTCACCTCAGTCATTTGAATAATCAATTAATACTATCTCCAGAATGCAAGGGACTGTGAAAACCATTACTATCGTGCAAAATGGAAATAAAGAAAGAATGAACAATGCTTGACTTTGGACAAAGTATGCTTCCTCTTATTCTGTTGGATTTACAAGTGGTCTCTGATGGCATCAGGTAGATCACATTTCTGAGCTGGACAGCACTATGTTGTATTACTTTTCCTGATGGATAAGATGCAGAAAATGATGTTAGGAGATTGGTCATATCACTCACTGCACCCATTTTGCATGAATGCCCACTGTAAGTTCTCAAAATTCGCAATGTATCACTAACAGATAAAGAATGGGGGACTTATCTGTAACTATTTATCTGTAAATGCCCCAATGCTCTAGCTCATCTGCTCAGCTACTTAATATATAAATTACTTCAGTGAATATAACTGAAGATTGGGGATAAAGTGTCATAAATTGCTGATAACATCGAAATTGCTACTACAACTTAAAGAAATCCATATGCATTCTGAATTAGTTTCTGAACAAACAGGCTTACTCTAGTACATGGACTTCACAATTCTAGGAATGGATTGGTAAGTGGTTTACAACTGAGTTGGGGGAGGAAATTTATGGTGACCGCAGTTCCACACTTAACAGGTCAGGATAGTGCAGTATAATATGGCCCTGAATTCCTTTTCCCCCCATCTCATTTGTTTTGGAGGACAACCATGCTTTTAACTACACTAAGGCTAATATTCATTCATTCATTCATTCATTTGTTCGTTCATTCATTCATTCATATAACTGCCCATCTCACCTAAGTGACTCTAAGCAGCTCACAACAGTTGAAAAAAACAAATAGAAAACAGGTTAAAACAAATATACAGACATATAAAAACCATTAACAAAACCAGATTAAAACAAAAAATTAATCATAATCAGTGGCAAAGTCCATCTCTACGTCACATTCAACACACGCATTGTAGAGCTTTCCACTACAGCAGACCCCCAAATGCAATGGCAAAGCCATGTCTTCAGGGCCCTCCTTTTTATATATATATATACATTTTATTAAAGCTTTTAAACAAGAAGATAAAAACTAACACAAACTAATAAAAAGTAAGGAAGAAAAAGGGAAAAGAAAAATTTTTAAAAAAAGCAAAAAGTGCAAGAAAGGAAAAAAAGTTGAGAAAAAATAGAAAAGAAAGAAAAAAGGTATAAAGTGGCTTATGTATTCTTCACAGCAATTATAAGTACAAATATATTTTAAACTCTCTCTCTGAAGTTACATATTACTTTCTCTAATCTAGCCTAATCATCAAAACCATAAATCACAAGTTCATTTTTTTTCATTTTTACGCAAAAAGTCCATAAGAGGCTTCCAGTTACCAATAAATGTACATAATGTCTTTTCTCTAATCAAAGAAATCAATTTATCCATTTCAGCAAAATCTGTCAACTTCACCAACAATTCCTTCATAGTGGGTAGTGTCAAATCTTTCCATCTCTGTGCATCTTCCATGGTGTCTTCAGGCCTTCCTAAAGGCCAGCAGGGTTGGGGCTAATCTAAGGTCCAGGGCAATCATGTTTCAAAAAGTGGGTGCCACAGCAGAAAAGACTCTCTTCCTGGGTGACACTGTTTCGTAGACAGGATCCATAACACGCCTCTTCTGCTGGACCCGATAGGATGGGTAGCCCTATTTTAGGGCTTATACCAGAGTTTTCATGTGTTTCTTACCTCAATATGGTTGCAAAACACAGTGCCAACTTTTGGCAATCATATCATTGATATTCAGTGACACAGCTGTAGAAAGCCACAACACGGGAGCCAAGAACCATATGTGGCCCTATGGCATAAGTTGTCTACCCTTGCCTTAAACCACGGGCTTGTAGTATGGAACTTCTAGAAGCAAGCTTCTTTATAAGTAATAGCAATGATATAAACTTTTATTAACAGCCTTCTCTTCCAGGAAAGGAAATTCTGCCTACTATTACTCATGCCACATAACACCCATATTAGACCACTGTAACATGCTCTAGGTGCCTTTAAAATATTTACAAAACAAGAAATGAGGCAGTGTTCCCAGACTAGTACAGAGTGCTAGTTTTTAAAGCACTATATGGGACTGGATGTCCTAAAGACTTAACTTCTTCCTTATGTTATTTTGAATTTCACTCTATTCTCCCTTTAATGAGTAGCAGATGGTTATGCAAAAAATACTATGTCACTAGTAAACCTACTTCGTAAAGTTCACCACAAAAGGCTTGAAATAGGTTATGATATAACTCTTTCAGAGACTATATTGTCTAGGACTAATACATATTTTGTTTTGTTGCTGACACCCACATTGTCAAAATAAAACAAATGATAAAGATAAGACAAGCTAACTTGGCAGTATCATTAAATAAAGAAATCTGTACTACCGTAAATCACTTTGTGGACCATTAAGTATACAGCAGGGATTGTTTTAAATAAGAGATATCTGGAGATAACTTTTTCAGAAGCTGCTACTACTGACTTGCATATGATCTGTATCAGAATGAATAGAATAAATGAAGGAAAATGGACACAATGAAAGAGAATATGGAAGCTGCTAGGAGTACAGTAAAAGGAACTGCATTACAGATTGCCACAGTAGCATATGAAGTTACACTAATAGGAAGCATCAAAAACAATGCTTGGTACAAAGATGAAGAAACTGTGGATGAGAAAAAATGCATTGCTGTGAGGGAAAATCATTGTACAATGTGTACAGGAAGAAGACAGTTGCAAAGAACATACTCAAGCAGAGTAAGGATTGGCTAAGATTGAAGAAGTGAAGAAAACACAGAGCAATTTTGATGTGGAATGAAAAGGGCTAAATAAGAAACCTCCAGCAGAGAGAACAGAATAAAGAATAGGAGCGATATGATTTGCGAAGAAATTGAAGTGAGTAAATGCTGGAAGAAATTTTTAAAGATTTCTATACGAATGACAGTGATAAGTTGAAGAGTGGAATTGAAACAAATGATGCAAATATTAGTATCTAAGAAAAAAATCATGAAAAGGAAATCATACATGCTGTAAAAATATTGCAAAATGGAAAAGCCCTAAGTGTAAAAAGTATAATTTGAGAGATGTTAAAATAGGGATATGGTTTGCTTATGGAATGGCTACAAGATTTGTTTAATGTGTGTATGAAGGATGGATCTGACAACTGGAAGAATGCTATCACTGTTCCTGTGAACAAAAGAAAAATAGCAAGAGTGAATGCAAAAATTACAGGAAGATTGGGTTATTAAGAGAACTTGGAAGGTATCTGGCAGAATTCTGACTAAAAGTATATGAGAGATGAGTAAAATCTGGGATGTGCAGTGCGACTGCATACCAGGAAGGGAGTGACTACAACCAATTTCTGCTTTTCAGCTAGTCAATAAATGCATGTATGTGAGAAATAAAGTTCATTGTACATTTGTTGATTTAGAGAAAGGTATATATGATAAAGTAAATATCTTTCAGATATGTAGCTAAAGGTTGATTATTGAATGTGAGAAAAGTTGATGGAATAAAGCACGTGTGAGATTAATGGAATGTTTAGCGAATGGTTCAACACTGAGCAGGAATAAGGCAAGAATGTGTGATGTCCCTTGGGTCTTTAATGAATGTATGAATAAATGTATAGGAAATACTTGTAGTAATAGTAGAGGTTTGTTGTCAAAGATATGAACATACATGTACTTCTGTATGCAAATGAGATACCATGTTGTTGGTTGAGAAGCTCAAAGAATCACAGTGAATACTAGATAGATTTTATGATGCCATTAGGAGTATGGATCTGAAACATATTAAAGACCAAGATAAGGAAAATGGAGTGAACATTTAAAAAAAAAAACCTAGAGCAAGAAGATGGATGTGTGTATCTAACAGAATATTCATTAAAGGTTGAAAAATGGATGGAGAAATTTTAAGATGTGCAAATGCTGGTAGAAAGGATATGAGTAGTATAAAATCTGCTTTAAGGAATAAATGTTTGTAGAAAGAAGCATAAATGGCTATATATAAGAGCATGCTTCTTCCCATTTTGTTATATGGAACTGGGAGTTGGATATGTCAGGGGAAACAAAAAGAGCTATGAATAGATTTTAAATAAATATAAATTGAATATAAAAGTGGAGGTTTGATCATACAAAGTAAATGAGAATTGAATTGCAAATGTGTGTGTTTGTGCGTGTGTTTTCTGAAGGAAAAGGGTGAGAAGAAGGGGAAGATGGAGAAAATCATGGTTGGATGGAGTTAATAAGATCTGCAAAAAGAATGAGGCAAAAAGTTTAAAGAACAAAAGGCAACACAGAAAGTGGTATATGGAGATGGAGAAAGCAAAGATTATTTGCAAGGATGGAAAATATGGATTTAAAGAATGGTGTTCAGATACCACAATGTGGAATCAAACTTTGGAATTTGCTACTATAAGATGTGGTGCTGGGCTATAAGCTTTGCTGGCTTCAAAAAAGGTTGGACCAATTAATGCAAGTCATGGAGGTCAACAGCTATTAGTGCTTGATGACAATTTAACTGCCTTTGAAGGCTATCTGCTGGGAAACTAGCGGGGTTCCTTTTGCTGTTAGTTGGCCACTGTGAGAACCGACTACTGGACTAGATGGACCAGGAATCCAATCCAGCATAGCACTGCTTATGTTCTTACGATAAACTAGATGTAGCTATATTTCCTTTTCATATTTCATGCCTTTAATTTGTCTATTTGTTATTTCCTTTCTATACTTTGTATAGCAATTCTTACCCTGTATGGAATATCGTGATAGGTATGTATGTTGTCTGTATTTAGCACTGCTACATGAATATGCCTGTAATACTGTCACCATACATCTGCAAATAAACACATTTGCAAATTTAAATATACATATACATACACATATATACAAACACATACTGTATTAAGAGTGTAAGTGTACATCCTTTCCCAAGAGTGTAAGTGTCCTTTAAAAGCCTGATATCATGTAACAGCAGCCAAGAATTTAAGTTGCCAGAATGTTGAGCACATTACATTCTATAAAAACTTTTTTTTTCTTCCTTGCATTTTTCCTGCATGTGCAGGGTCCACTTTTTTTTTCCAGATCAACTGAATGTTGATCCATTGGTTGCGACAGGAATTGACCGACCAGCTTGTCGCCCAAGCTTGACATTGTGGGCTGAGAGAGAGTGACTGGCCTAGAGTCACCCAGCTGGCTTTCAAGCCTAAGGTGGAACTAGAACTTTGTCTCCTGGTTTTTAGCCTCGTGCCTTAACCACTAGACCAAACTGGCGCTCTCATAAAACTCTCTTCATAACAATCGTTTATTCTTTGGAAAATATATCAAGTACATTTGGACAACATTTAGAGAATGTATAATATCCATTCAATTCTATTTCAGTTTGGGAGATAGCACCTTCCATTAATTAACAGTCATTTCCATTTATGATGTAATTTATAAATGTTACCACTTAAGAGTCCACTAGGCTTAAGTTGGTAGATAAATTGCATAAATGAATATGTAATACAACAAAAATATTAACATGAACTATGCACTATATATTGTCAGTTTTTTAACGTCAGAACAATAAATGGGATCATATCGCACAAGGTGTAGTTACACCTACTACACTTCGTGTATATCAACACATATAAATAATTCAATTAACTAATCCATAACCACATTAAAGTTTGCTGTTTTAAAGACTGCCATTCTTTCATTTTTGCCCTTTCTTACTGCTAGCATAACCCCCGTGTAAAATAATGCTGAGCAGCAGGAATTATGGCTATGATTTTGAAATAGGATCGCCCGGGTGCAATGGCATTTCCAGAAGTACATGTCACGAGCCCAGCGTGGAAGGAAAAAAAGGAGCCTGGCTTTTTAGGCAGATTTGGCAGGATCAAATTCAGTCCAGATCTCCTACATTTAGGTGTCAAAAGGAGGAGACAAGAGGGTCAGGGCTGTTGTGTATCTCTGGCCGGGAGAAGAGGAAGGTTCGCCTATCCTTGACTGCTTGAGGAGCAAAGTGGTTGTTCACGGTTGGAAAGGTGGTACTTCTCGACCAACCGAGCCCCTTGCGCTGGTTTGACGGCAAGCAAGCAAATTTCCTTTAAAGAAGCTTTCGTTTCATTACCTTCTTAGAGTTCTCAGTCTCTTCCTCCGTCGCCATAATCAGACAAGTGCCGAGCTTTTTGCTCCGTCCAGCCTCAGAACTACGACCAGCGAGTCAGAGTGCCGCGATAGGCAGAGAGGCCTTATGCTAAAGACAGCCGCTCTATCCACTCGCCTTTCCCGTCCGCCTTTTTTCTAACTCGGCCTCTCCTTTATCTCTATGGTGTTGGGAGAGAGAACTGACGCCATTTTAGGTCTGGAGACTGCGAACAGGAATCCTTTGTTCAGTGAGATGGGTCACGGAGCAGCGCGCGCGTCATCTGCATGCACGCGCGCGCGCACCCCCCTTTCCTGTTCCCGTCTCTGACTGCTTACGGAGGAGCTGGGAGAGGGCGGGAAAAAGGCGATATAGGAAATGGGAGAGGGGCGGGGGTGGAAGTTGGGCATGAGGCCCATTTGGGGGGGGGGGGAAGCGTTATATGCCCGTAGAATAAATCCTCTTGAGCTCATTGAGACGTTCTGTACTGCTGAATGTGTACTCCGTGTTCTCGTATTCCGTGTTCTCGTATGCATCTACAGGAGAACAGTTTTCGCAGCACAGCGGGCGAATATATATTTTTCGAAAGCTACGATTAGAAAAAATCTTAATAGTGTAGACATTTGAGGACTGGATTTTATCTTGCAGAGTGATGGTTTTAAACATTTGAATACCCTAATCTGGAGCTGCACCGATGCACACATTACTGGGCATGGTGTTTATGTTTTCCAAAGTAATGCTTGTCATATGCTTAGTTACAACTTCATAATCCCATGCTGGTTAAATCTTTGAAATTAAAAACACCTGGAAGGCCCCTGGTCACCTACACTATTAGAGTACTAGAGAAGCCATAACTAACACAGTTGTCTCTAGGCATGATTGACTGTGTCTCCCAATAAATCTTTCTGGCTTGAAAATTGGAGTTGTAGTCCAGTATATCTAGAGGGTATCAGATTAGGGAAGGCTGGATTAGAATATAGGATGAGCCATATTCATAATCCTATCACTGCCTCACAATTTAGCCTACCTCACAGGTTACTTGTGAAGACAAAATGGAGAAACATACCAGTACACTATGGCACTTTAAAATTCTTGGGAGAAAGGTATGTTGTCTCTGTGTATTACAATATTTTTTAAAAAGTTATGTGGAGATAATTGAAATCTTTTGGGAAGAGGAACTTTGAAAGGGTTCACAAATGTTCAACACTTTTTTATATCCAAATATTGGTAAACACATTGCAATTTAAACATCTATAGTAAGACCATGTTCATTATGACTAGACAAAATGTCACAAAATAGCAAATAAACTTTCATATGATCGAGGCACTACAAATAAGTTGGGAGAAGATGGAGGAGAGAAGTTGTCTTATACTGCAAACCTGTATGTATGTCTATTTAGAAACAAGACCATGGGCTTATTTTATTTATTTAAATTTATTGGCCGCCCAACTCCAGTAGACTTTGGGTAGTGCACAAAACTAAAAAAGACATAAAAACTGCTAAAAATATTAAATCAACAGGCAGCCTGGACTAAAATGCCCTAATAACAAAATACAGAAAACAAAAAGGGCCATTAAACAAATAAACATCAAACTCAGGCCTGGGACCAAAGCCAGATTTTCAAAGCTTTCCAGAACCCTACTGCTTGATCAATGGATGTAAGTTTTTTTTATATTCACATGCAGAAAGTTCATATTTAAAAAGCATATTTTTCAACTCTTAATGAAGACAGAATGTAGAGTAGGAAGCTAGAGTGATGTAAGAGAAATCACACTCACATAAAAAGATCAGAGTTTAGACTAAAGAATATGCTTTTTATCATAAAAAGAACACAGTTATTGGGTACATTAAAAATAACCAAGCATGAAAGATATTGATTAGACATACAGTATTCAATTTGGAGCAGCAATTTTTGGTTAGCTCAAAGGAAAGATGGTAAAAAGAGAAACAGAATACTACATAAGAACGGAGAAAAGGAAGAGGAGTACTGGCTGTAATAATTTACTTCAGCAGTTGTTACTATCGTTGATATATAAAAACACAAAATCCAACATTGCTATGGAGTATACTTCCTCATCAGCAAAGAACTTACACAAGATTACATATGGTGAGTAGAATTAACTTGGAGCAGAATAAGCAGTATTCCATTCTTCTGTGGTGTGAAAAAAAAAAGTATGTATAGTGTACTGCAATGGAAGTAATGCGTGACTTGGAAGAGCTTTCTTCCAAGGAACTCTGAAGTTTACAGTACATCGTGGTGTAAATGGACTTGTCACAGTAGGTCACAGCATCTAGCTGACTTTCACTGAAATTAAAAAAAGCTAAGCCAGGTCAGACTCTCCCATGGATGGAAGACCACTGGGAAATTGCAGAGCTGTAGACTAAACTAATAAATCCAAAACATGTCCCATAAGAAGGCAGTAGCAAATCTTTTCCATATTGTTGCTATGAAACAACATAGAGGTGTACATATAGTAATCAAGAGTCAAATTCAGCTTGCGGGAGACTATAGTGGACATAACATTATTTTTAAATTTTCTGTATAGGCTGTTTACATTTCTTTTCCTTATAATTATGTGAGATAATAAACCAATATTAGGCTATCTATGAACTATTTCAAGAGATTTTCTTGTATTGAATACTCTTTACTATTTTGAATGACTTATTTTGAAAAGAGGGACATGTATTGATATAATTTATTTTGTTTATCACATTTATATCCTGCCACAATCCAAGGACTCTTGGTGACTTTTATGGTATGAAGAATTAATTGAAAACATCTATACTATATTAAATGTAAAAAATAGGTCTAAATCATAAACCATTTCATAAACCATAAATCATTTCAACAACAATCACAAAAATAAATAAGTGTGGGACCACAAGGAGCTTCTTTCTGTATGTGTATGTTTGTATGCGTGTGTATGTATGTATATGTATATAGGTGTGTATATATATATATATAT